GTATTGTGACCTGAGATAGCATTATTGTTGGCCTAGGATAAAATGAGAGATAGCTGAGTTTGCGGCTCGATGTTTGATATGTCAACGGGTGAAGGCTAAGCATTAGAGACCAGCCGGGTTATTACAGTCTCTAACGATTCTAGAATGAAAGTGGGAGCATATCATTACAGATTTTGTGAGTAATTTACCCCAAACACAGAGAGGACATGAGGCCATTTGGATAATAGTTGATAAGTTGACGAAGTCTGCTTATTTTCTAGCTGTTAAAATGTCCTATTCTCTTGATAGACTAGCTAGATTGTACATTGATGAGATTGTGAGACTACATGATGTACATGTATCTATTGTCTCTGACGAGGATCTACGTTTTTACTTCGAGGTTTTGGCCTAGCTTATAGACTATGTTGGACACTACTTTGAAGTTTAGTACAACATTCTACCCACAAACAGATGGACAAACAAAGCATACTATTCAGACGTTGGAGGACATGTTGAGAGCTTGTGTCATGGACTTTAGAGGTAACTGGGATAAATATTTGTCTTTAATTGAATTTGCTTATAATAATAGCTATTATAGTTCGCTTGAGATGACACCATATGAAGCTTTGTATGGGAGAAAGTGTAGGACCCCAATGTGTTGGAATGAAGTGGGTAAGAGAAGTTATTGGGTCCAGAAATTATGCAAATGACTATTGATTAGATTAAAGTCATATAGGAGAGCTTACGGAGGACACAAAGCAGGTAGAAAAGTTATGCAAATAATCGGCGTCGTGATTTGGAATTTTAGGTGGGTGATCGAGTATTCCTACGGGTATCAACTTGGAAAGGGGTCATTCATTTTGGCAAGAAAGGGAAGTTGGCTCCCAGGTATATTGGTCCGTACAACATCATAGAGCGGATTGGAGCTGTTGCATACCGGTTAAAGTTACTAATAGAGTTGTCCAAGTTGCATGATGTATTCCATGTTTCTATGTTATGAAAATACTTGTTTCTCCTATCCCATGTGTTGACTTTAGAACCAATGGAATTAGCTGAGGTTTTGACTTATGTAGTGCAACTGGTTCAGATTTTGGATAGGATGGAGAAAGTACTACGCACGAAGACAATACTGTCGGTAAAGGTTTTGTAGCGAAGTCACTCAGTAGAGGAAGCAACCTGGGAGACTGAGGAAAGTGTGTGGACTCAATACCCTCATTTGTTTAGTCTAGGTAAGTAATTTCAAGGACGAACTGTTTATTAGTAGGAGAGAGTTGTGAGATCCAATCATGCATTGCATACATATTATCATAATTATGTGGACTAATTGCAATTATGTGAAAATATTTATTAGATAGAATTTTGTGTATGAAAATAGTATTGGGTTGATTTTGAAATAACTTCAGAATTTTGGGGGGAGGCAAGCAAAATTATGAAAGTTTCATGAAATATCTTTACACATGTGTCAAACATAAGGTGATGGGTCATTTTGGAAAGGTCAAGTGCATGTGTGTGTGTGTGCCACGTGTGTGTGTGTTTGACTAGGTGTAGAAAAAATGTGTATGTGTGTACTTTAATATGTAGTAAAGTTAGTGTGTGTTCTGGTTTTGTTGAAACTGTGAGCGAGGGAGAGTAAAGGAGAGGAAGAAGAAAGAAAAAAAAAAGAAAGAAAGAAAGAAGAATTTGGGGGACTCCATGTCAAACCAAAAGTAAGAAGAAAACAAGAAGAAGATAAGGGTGTGTGTGTGTTCATTTTAGTGTGTGTGTGTGATTAATTTTAAATATTTGTGAATATGTGTGGGTTTTTTAGTTCAATTTCAAAACATATTTTTTTGTGAGTTTATTTAAGTGTGTTGAACATAATTTATGGGTTTTGAATGAGTATTCAATCGGGATGCAAGAAAAGTGTATCAAAAACCTTATCACATCCTATCCTTGGGAGACCGGGATGGGGCATGACATCAACTTTATCCCATCTACATCACCCACCATGTTATTCTCTATACTCTATCATGCACACCCGTTGCCCAACATTGCAAAATCGTCCCCCACTCCCTCCCATCTCGTTTGCCTACCTTACTAGGCACAATCCCCACCTGAACTTACATAGCCCCCTCCCTCTCCCTCGCATAGCCCTTAACTCATTACTAACCCGCATTGACCTTTCCCTATCTCCAACCTACCACAATCTNCATCTCAAATACAAGAAAAATAATTTTTAAATGAATAATATTAATATGTATTTGTTGTATTGATAATATAAAATATGGCTGCTTCAACATCCAACGATTTCAAATTAATTCATCCAACGGCCATCAACATCACTTTAAAAAACATTAAAATTAAATTAAATTTTTTTTAAATAATTCAGATTTCATCTAATCTCTTAAAAATTCATAGCAAGCAAAAAAAAAATTCAGCCCAAAACGCCTTTTAAACACTACCCNGATAGATTCATGTGTCGTGGTGGTGGGAGGTGCTATTATAGTCTAGGTGAATGTAGTGTTCTGTAGGGTCGGCCCTAGCCATAGGCCACTAAAGCCCCCGCATAGGACCCCAAATAAATAGTAATATTTGGGGCCCCCAAATTTTTTTTTATGATTCAATTAAAATAATTTTAGGGCCCCAAATTTTAACTAGTTTTGTAATTTTAGGTTCAATCTATGAGCCAATAAAAAATTGACACGACATTAATGAGTTTGAATCTAGTCTTAATAGATTTAGATGATAAAATGATGAAATTACTAAGTCCCTCAAATCTGCAAGTTGAAATGACTCCTAATGAAACATGACACAAACTCGTTAAACTAAATATGATTATAAGCAGGACGGACATATATTAAGTAAATTTTGACACGATATGATCAAATTAATATTCTTATATTATCTTTACTTTTTCAATCTTACTTATGTTTATAAAATCCAGAAAAAAATGAGTTATCTCCTAACGCAATACTTTTAATTTATTATAATCAAAGTCAATTAGCTGATTAATTATTTATCACATAATTTTCTTAAATTATATTTTTTTATTCATTTAAATTCGAGATATTTTTTTAATATGAATTATTTTTTTGCTCAATTATTTTTTTAAATACACAAAAAAAGGCACACAATGACATAAAAACATATTAGATTTGAGTAGTTTACAATTCAAAATTCTTACTACAGTCGTTTCAAAAAATTTAGTTCTATTAATAAATTTTAATTTTTTTTCTATATTTTTAATTTATAGCATATTTTTGAATATATAACTAGTAGTTTTACAAAACTAAAGCTTGAATTAAAAAAATAACTAGTAGATTTTTTATAACTAAAGTTTGAATGCAAAACCAGTAGTTTTACGTCTCAAATACAAGAAAAATAATTTTTAAATGAATAATATTAATATGTATTTGTTGTATTGATAATATAAAATATGGCTGTTTCAACATCCAACGGTTTCAAATTAATTCATCCAACGGCCACCAACATCACTTTAAAAAATATTAAAATTAAATTAAATTAAAATTTTTTTAAATAATTCAGATTTCATCTAATCTCTTAAAAATTCATAGCAAGCAAAAAAAAAAATTCTGCCCAAAACGCCTTTTAAACACTACCCAACACTACACAGTTACCCAAACATCTTCTCCACGCTCCCTTCTCTCTCTCTCGTTTCTAGAAGACCCATTTTGGAGCCCCTCTCTCTGTCTCTCTCCTTCTCGCTGCTCTGTCGTGGCTCAACCCACCGTCGATCAACCTACGGCCGACGAATCCACCGCCGATCAAGCAGTAGAACACACACACAGGCAGTAGACAACACCCGATGAAGTCCAGGTACCTCTCTCTGTCTCTATCTCTCTCTCTCTCTCTCCAGTCGAACACACACACAAACACAAACACAAACACACGGCAGTATAGACACTTAAATACATTCTTCTAGATAACTATAGCCACAAAAGGATGGGACTTTCTATTATTTTGGTGTCACTGAGATGCTATGAAATATGAATATCTTAATTTCTAAAGGTGTAGAATTTTGGGTTCTTGACTTTTTGGTATAAGTTAATGGATAAAGCCATTATAAAATTGTTGTTTCAAGTTTATTGTGTGTTCTGCTGTTTTACGATTTTATGATTTGTGAAAGAGGTGATATCATTTGACTTCANTCTGCTGTTTTACGATTTTATGATTTGTGAAAGAGGTGATATCATTTGACTTCAAAAAGCTGTGTCTACANTCAATATAATTTGATGATTTACACACTTGTGTCGAACTTTTCTATGCACGCACACTATATTTAAACGTGAAAGAAAACATAAAGTTAGAGTTTAGAAGGATTTCAGATGATATTGGATTTGGTTGTTTAATGATCTCTTAAACTATTTACATTTGTACTTTGGAGGATATGATGGGCATTATTAGACCAGCTTCCTTTCCTGCAAATACTAGATCATTTGTGTCTCTATTACAATACGTCAAAACCCAATAGTTCGAATGAAGAAAAAAAGATCGTCACCTTGTTGCCTTCAACCTTCATCATTGTCATTGCTTTGTGATGGTAGATCGTCAGTTGCGTAGTTGTTTCGATACAGACTTAAACTTAGACTTAGACTTACTACTTTTGTCTTACGAAATACAGCAACCTTGTTCATTAGCAAAGGACCAACCTTGTCTATTATTTTGGTGTCACTGAGTTGCTATAAAATATGAATATCTTAATTTCTAAAGGTGTAGAATTTTTGGTTCATGACTTTTTGGTATAAGTTAATGGATAAAGCCATTATAAAATTGTTGTTTCAAGTNGGTGTAGAATTTTTGGTTCATGACTTTTTGGTATAAGTTAATGGATAAAGCCATTATAAAATTGTTGTTTCAAGTTTATTGTGTGTTATGTTGTTTTATGTTTTTATGATTTGTGAAAGAGGTGATATCATTTGACTTCAATGAGCTGTGTCTACACCCGCGATGTGATTTTACTTGAGATGGTGACTGGCTNATGTTTTTATGATTTGTGAAAGAGGTGATATCATTTGACTTCAATGAGCTGTGTCTACACCCGCGATGTGATTTTACTTGAGATGGTGACTGGCTGAAGATACATGGGCAAATATTCGATAATTTTATGTGATGCTTGGTTTATGTGATGATTGTTTGCTGCTAATAACTATGGGTTTGGAGTTATATCTTAGCATTAATTTTTCTGTTTTTATTGGAAAAAAGAGGTTTAGGGCATTTAGATTTAGTTTTTTTTTTCTTTTTTTTGCCATTTTATGTTGGGATTTTCATGTTTCATACTGATAATTATTTGTTTGTAATTGGGTGAGTGTACGAAGTGATTTTAGATTTAGCATTGGTTTGTAAGGTTGTACTCTGCATCATTTCACCAGTAATAGTTGTTTCTTATTTGCTTTATTGATATCTTTCTTCATTTGTAATGGTAGCCACTGTCTTTGAGGGGCTATGGAGGTTGTGCCAGTGGCACCACAGACGAGGGCAATGTGGTGTAGAGATATGGAGTGGCTCTTATGTGTGAGTGATTCCATGGTAGAGCTTGTGCCTTCCATGCAACAATTCCCCCGTGTAGGCACATATTCATTGAAGCCGTCTTATATTATAGATTATAGATCTCCTTGCACTCAAAAAGCTTGATGCTATGTTAATTAGTCCTCATAATGACATGGGGTATGATTGTCCCTGATGCGAAAAATTGTGATTAGTATCCATTGGGTATGTCAGGTGGAAGGCCTTCAATTAGAGGCAGGAAGAGAAGTGGTGGCTCCCAAATCCAAAAGTTCCTCCAAAAGGGTTGTCAGTGGATGCAAGGAAGAGGTTGCAGCAATGCAGGGACTGTACCAACCAGATACTGAAGGCAGCCTTAGCAATCAATAGCAATGTGCTTGCTGAGATGGAGATTCCCAATGCTTACTTAGAAACTTTGCCCAAGGTATGGGTTTCAATGTTGGGTTTACAAATGCTATGAGATATAAACAAGCTGAGATCTAAATTTCCTGATACATATCCATAGATACTACAACTGGTTTGGTTTTTTTGGATCTGATTGATATCATTAGGTTGACAATGTGTTTTTAATGGTATTTACTTTTCTTATCATTTATTACTGTAGAAAAGTTTTGTTAAATTTAAACCTTGTGGAATGTTGGCAGCTTGCTTGTGATGATTTTCTGGAGTTATGACTGCTTGTACTCATGGCGTTTGAGTTCAATATATACTTCCACCACTCTCATATGACATATCCTATTTTCCCTTTTAGACATACAGTTCATATATTTTGGTGTCTAATAGACCACAATAAAGCATTTTCCGATTTGTGAGTTGAGTTTGGGTATGATAATGTCAACTACACTTTTAATTGATGGCATTTTACAACACAATCTTGCAAGCCAAATGGCACTTCCACTGCTATTGTAATGTGTAATGTCTTATAGAAGTCAAAAAGCAATGTATTTTCGGTTTGGGTTATGCAATTTGGAGGTGCATTTTGTCTTATGGAAGTCCATAAGCAAAGTAATTGTTTTTTACTTTTGAGGGAACAACCATTTCATGCCTTTTGTTTTGGATTGCCAACAGAAACCACTTCATACCTTTTCATGTGCTATCATTAACCCAATGTGACATTTATATTGTTTGAGTTAGGAAGACACCAGTGCGGGGTATTGGTTATAAAAACTTAAAATTGTCACTTTAGCCTAGGATGCCACATCTTCCTTTTGTTTTAGATATTCTTTATTGGATTTTTTATCCATTGCATGTGCACATATACATGTTCATTGCAATTTCGACTTTTTGTTTATTTTTGCTTTGAATATCTAAAAGTTTTAATTAATTTTATTCATAAAGTTTTATTGTGGTTATGTTTGACTCATCATTTTCTAATTCATCGGAAGCCCAAGAGAGTATGTTTTTCTATCCTAGGTTCAAATATTTCATCCCTAAAATTGGTAGAATTTTTAAATGGTCGCAATTGAGCTAGCAGCATTAAGTTGAATGAAACATGCTTTGAATAACTTTTTTTACTGCCCTAATTTTTTAAGTGTTGAGTCGTTTAGTGGGAGGCATCAATGGATAGTTCTACTCTAACTTATTATATAGGTGGATACCAAGGTAATAAGGGTATATGTTTTATTTCCTCTATTTATAGGTGGATGCCAATGTAAATTTATATTTTTTGTGATTTTATTCTAAGGAGTTATGTTTAAAAAAAATGCAGGTTCCACTTCATACCTTTGTAAGTTTTTATTTGGATTTTGGGCACACACGCAACACCTTCCCCTCTAATTTGATTTCGAGGTCATTTTTCGATTTCAATGTCTGGATTGCAATTGAGATTCTTGCTTAATGCTAGATTTTTTGGATATATAGTTCTCTATCATACCTTGATTAATATTTTTGGATGAAATCATTGATTATATTTGTTGAAATAGGCATGGTATTGATTCATGGGTTATTCTATTTGATAGGAATGTATTGTTGTGTTATTATTCATTTGGACCCAAATTGAATCCTTTTGTATGTACAAATTTGTTGTAATGGTAATATTTATTTGTCATTCCATTTGAGTTTAAACTATTGTTATAGTTAGATGCTATGATGTTTATTTTCTTGAATTGCATTGACTAGAGTTGTTGGTACAGTAATCTAAATTCATCCTCCTCATCCTTTCCAGCTAGCAACGGTGTGACATGATACGCGATAGCCTAGGGTTGGGCTGGAACATTCTCGATCTCCAAAGGTGTCAATTTGTTCTATGTAAAATGGTAAGCTCTTATTTGTGTTCTTGATTTTTTAATCCCAATTTGGTGTTCTTACATCTTGACTTGTTCTTGGGTTGGTGCGCTTAATTTTTTTACTTGGTGTCCTCATAGCCCCTAACGGATTTTTTCCACTATTGAATTTGTTGACTTTCTTTGATTGTCGGTAATCATACACTATTAATTATTGAATAAATGATTGGGCTCTTATAGATTAGCTTTCTCACTNTATTGAATTTGTTGACTTTCTTTGATTGTCGGTAATCATACACTATTAATTATTGAATAAATGATTGGGCTCTTATAGATTAGCTTTCTCACTTTTTTTTGAATTAATTGATTTGACCTTGATATTGGTTAATAAATAGAGATCTCCTGATATATAATGTGGTATGATGTTTTTTTTGGTACAAAACATTATTTTCATACCATTATTTTTATGGCTAATTAATCATTAGCTATTGAGCATTATTTTCATGGACTTGGCAAAGTCGTAGTTGCCCTCCATATTTCGCGATACAATTCATTCAAGTGCTTTGATTTGCTATACGGATAATTATTGAACCAGTTTTTTTAAAAAAAAAAAATTCAAAGTTAATTTTATTAATTATAATTTTTATTGCTAATTGATGCACTTTTAGTAAAGTACTAGGAATAAACCGTGTCTGAAGGCACGGTGCAATGTATACCAACCGATTAATTTGAAAAAAAAAA